AGTCCGTAAATGTACCTCTGTGAACATTGAAACTCACTTGTAGTGTATAAGATGAACTAGATGGACCCATACTTACCCAAACATGGATTAATAGGTTCTACACATGACTATGAGGACAAACATGAGTGAAACGGTCTCAATCCAAGGGAGGAACATCAAATGGACCTAATTTGGGAACCGGAAGAGGTAAGGAGTCCGAAATGTACCTCTGTGACTCCACATTGTGGAAACTCACTTGTAGTGTATAAGATGAACTAGATGGACCCATACTTACCCAAACATGGATTAATAGGTTCTACACATGACTATGAGGACAAACATGAGTGAAACGGTCTCAATCCAAGGGAGGAACATCAAATGGACCTAATTTGGGAACCGGAAGAGGTAAGGAGTCCGAAATGTACCTCTGTGACTCCACATTGTGGAAACTCACTTGTAGTGTATAAGATGAACTAGATGGACCCATACTTACCCAAACATGGATTAATAGGTTCTACACATGACTATGAGGACAAACATGAGTGAAACGGTCTCAATCCAAGGGAGGAACATCAAATGGACCTAATTTGGGAACCGGAAGAGGTAAGGAGTCCGAAATGTACCTCTGTGACTCCACATTGTGGAAACTCACTTGTAGTGTATAAGATGAACTAGATGGACCCATACTTACCCAAACATGGATTAATAGGTTCTACACATGACTATGAGGACAAACATGAGTGAAACGGTCTCAATCCAAGGGAGGAACATCAAATGGACCTAATTTGGGAACCGGAAGAGGTAAGGAGTCCGAAATGTACCTCTGTGACTCCACATTGTGGAAACTCACTTGTAGTGTATAAGATGAACTAGATGGACCCATACTTACCCAAACATGGATTAATAGGTTCTACACATGACTATGAGGACAAACATGAGTGAAACGGTCTCAATCCAAGGGAGGAACATCAAATGGACCTAATTTGGGAACCGGAAGAGGTAAGGAGTCCGAAATGTACCTCTGTGACTCCACATTGTGGAAACTCACTTGTAGTGTATAAGATGAACTAGATGGACCCATACTTACCCAAACATGGATTAATAGGTTCTACACATGACTATGAGGACAAACATGAGTGAAACGGTCTCAATCCAAGGGAGGAACATCAAATGGACCTAATTTGGGAACCGGAAGAGGTAAGGAGTCCGAAATGTACCTCTGTGACTCCACATTGTGGAAACTCACTTGTAGTGTATAAGATGAACTAGATGGACCCATACTTACCCAAACATGGATTAATAGGTTCTACACATGACTATGAGGACAAACATGAGTGAAACGGTCTCAATCCAAGGGAGGAACATCAAATGGACCTAATTTGGGAACCGGAAGAGGTAAGGAGTCCGAAATGTACCTCTGTGACTCCACATTGTGGAAACTCACTTGTAGTGTATAAGATGAACTAGATGGACCCATACTTACCCAAACATGGATTAATAGGTTCTACACATGACTATGAGGACAAACATGAGTGAAACGGTCTCAATCCAAGGGAGGAACATCAAATGGACCTAATTTGGGAACCGGAAGAGGTAAGGAGTCCGAAATGTACCTCTGTGACTCCACATTGTGGAAACTCACTTGTAGTGTATAAGATGAACTAGATGGACCCATACTTACCCAAACATGGATTAATAGGTTCTACACATGACTATGAGGACAAACATGAGTGAAACGGTCTCAATCCAAGGGAGGAACATCAAATGGACCTAATTTGGGAACCGGAAGAGGTAAGGAGTCCGAAATGTACCTCTGTGACTCCACATTGTGGAAACTCACTTGTAGTGTATAAGATGAACTAGATGGACCCATACTTACCCAAACATGGATTAATAGGTTCTACACATGACTATGAGGACAAACATGAGTGAAACGGTCTCAATCCAAGGGAGGAACATCAAATGGACCTAATTTGGGAACCGGAAGAGGTAAGGAGTCCGAAATGTACCTCTGTGACTCCACATTGTGGAAACTCACTTGTAGTGTATAAGATGAACTAGATGGACCCATACTTACCCAAACATGGATTAATAGGTTCTACACATGACTATGAGGACAAACATGAGTGAAACGGTCTCAATCCAAGGGAGGAACATCAAATGGACCTAATTTGGGAACCGGAAGAGGTAAGGAGTCCGAAATGTACCTCTGTGACTCCACATTGTGGAAACTCACTTGTAGTGTATAAGATGAACTAGATGGACCCATACTTACCCAAACATGGATTAATAGGTTCTACACATGACTATGAGGACAAACATGAGTGAAACGGTCTCAATCCAAGGGAGGAACATCAAATGGACCTAATTTGGGAACCGGAAGAGGTAAGGAGTCCGAAATGTACCTCTGTGACTCCACATTGTGGAAACTCACTTGTAGTGTATAAGATGAACTAGATGGACCCATACTTACCCAAACATGGATTAATAGGTTCTACACATGACTATGAGGACAAACATGAGTGAAACGGTCTCAATCCAAGGGAGGAACATCAAATGGACCTAATTTGGGAACCGGAAGAGGTAAGGAGTCCGAAATGTACCTCTGTGACTCCACATTGTGGAAACTCACTTGTAGTGTATAAGATGAACTAGATGGACCCATACTTACCCAAACATGGATTAATAGGTTCTACACATGACTATGAGGACAAACATGAGTGAAACGGTCTCAATCCAAGGGAGGAACATCAAATGGACCTAATTTGGGAACCGGAAGAGGTAAGGAGTCCGAAATGTACCTCTGTGACTCCACATTGTGGAAACTCACTTGTAGTGTATAAGATGAACTAGATGGACCCATACTTACCCAAACATGGATTAATAGGTTCTACACATGACTATGAGGACAAACATGAGTGAAACGGTCTCAATCCAAGGGAGGAACATCAAATGGACCTAATTTGGGAACCGGAAGAGGTAAGGAGTCCGAAATGTACCTCTGTGACTCCACATTGTGGAAACTCACTTGTAGTGTATAAGATGAACTAGATGGACCCATACTTACCCAAACATGGATTAATAGGTTCTACACATGACTATGAGGACAAACATGAGTGAAACGGTCTCAATCCAAGGGAGGAACATCAAATGGACCTAATTTGGGAACCGGAAGAGGTAAGGAGTCCGAAATGTACCTCTGTGACTCCACATTGTGGAAACTCACTTGTAGTGTATAAGATGAACTAGATGGACCCATACTTACCCAAACATGGATTAATAGGTTCTACACATGACTATGAGGACAAACATGAGTGAAACGGTCTCAATCCAAGGGAGGAACATCAAATGGACCAAATTTGGGAACCGGAAGAGGTAAGGAGTCCGAAATGTACCTCTGTGACTCCACATTGTGGAAACTCACTTGTAGTGTATAAGATGAACTAGATGGACCCATACTTACCCAAACATGGATTAATAGGTTCTACACATGACTATGAGGACAAACATGAGTGAAACGGTCTCAATCCAAGGGAGGAACATCAAATGGACCTAATTTGGGAACCGGAAGAGGTAAGGAGTCCGAAATGTACCTCTGTGACTCCACATTGTGGAAACTCACTTGTAGTGTATAAGATGAACTAGATGGACCCATACTTACCCAAACATGGATTAATAGGTTCTACACATGACTATGAGGACAAACATGAGTGAAACGGTCTCAATCCAAGGGAGGAACATCAAATGGACCTAATTTGGGAACCGGAAGAGGTAAGGAGTCCGAAATGTACCTCTGTGACTCCACATTGTGGAAACTCACTTGTAGTGTATAAGATGAACTAGATGGACCCATACTTACCCAAACATGGATTAATAGGTTCTACACATGACTATGAGGACAAACATGAGTGAAACGGTCTCAATCCAAGGGAGGAACATCAAATGGACCTAATTTGGGAACCGGAAGAGGTAAGGAGTCCGAAATGTACCTCTGTGACTCCACATTGTGGAAACTCACTTGTAGTGTATAAGATGAACTAGATGGACCCATACTTACCCAAACATGGATTAATAGGTTCTACACATGACTATGAGGACAAACATGAGTGAAACGGTCTCAATCCAAGGGAGGAACATCAAATGGACCTAATTTGGGAACCGGAAGAGGTAAGGAGTCCGAAATGTACCTCTGTGACTCCACATTGTGGAAACTCACTTGTAGTGTATAAGATGAACTAGATGGACCCATACTTACCCAAACATGGATTAATAGGTTCTACACATGACTATGAGGACAAACATGAGTGAAACGGTCTCAATCCAAGGGAGGAACATCAAATGGACCTAATTTGGGAACCGGAAGAGGTAAGGAGTCCGAAATGTACCTCTGTGACTCCACATTGGGAAACTCACTTGTAGTGTATAAGATGAACTAGATGGACCCATACTTACCCAAACATGGATTAATAGGTTCTACACATGACTATGAGGACAAACATGAGTGAAACGGTCTCAATCCAAGGGAGGAACATCAAATGGACCTAATTTGGGAACCGGAAGAGGTAAGGAGTCCGAAATGTACCTCTGTGACTCCACATTGGGAAACTCACTTGTAGTGTATAAGATGAACTAGATGGACCCATACTTACCAAACATGGATTAATAGGTTCTACACATGGAGGGCGACACAGACGAGGAGGACAAACAGGAGGGAAACGGGTGCAAGCAAGGGGAGCAAAGGGACGAAGGGGAACCGGAAGAGGGAAAGAGGCCGAAAGGGACCGCGGGGACGCACAGGGGGAAACGCACGGGGAGGGGAGAAGAGGAACGAGAGGACCCATACTTACCCAAACATGGATTAATAGGTTCTACACATGACTATGAGGACAAACATGAGTGAAACGGTCTCAATCCAAGGGAGGAACATCAAATGGACCTAATTTGGGAACCGGAAGAGGTAAGGAGTCCGAAATGTACCTCTGTGACTCCACATTGTGGAAACTCACTTGTAGTGTATAAGATGAACTAGATGGACCCATACTATACCCAAACATGGATTAATAGGTTCTACACATGACTATGAGGACAAACATGAGTGAAACGGTCTCAATCCAAGGGAGGAACATCAAATGGACCTAATTTGGGAACCGGAAGAGGTAAGGAGTCCGAAATGTACCTCTGTGACTCCACATTGTGGAAACTCACTTGTAGTGTATAAGATGAACTAGATGGACCCATACTTAACCCAAACATGGATTAATAGGTTCTACACATGACTATGAGGACAAACATGAGTGAAACGGTCTCAATCCAAGGGAGGAACATCAAATGGACCTAATTTGGGAACCGGAAGAGGTAAGGAGTCCGAAATGTACCTCTGTGACTCCACATTGTGGAAACTCACTTGTAGTGTATAAGATGAACTAGATGGACCCATACTTATCCCAAACATGGATTAATAGGTTCTACACATGACTATGAGGACAAACATGAGTGAAACGGTCTCAATCCAAGGGAGGAACATCAAATGGACCTAATTTGGGAACCGGAAGAGGTAAGGAGTCCGAAATGTACCTCTGTGACTCCACATTGTGGAAACTCACTTGTAGTGTATAAGATGAACTAGATGGACCCATACTTACCCAAACATGGATTAATAGGTTCTACACATGACTATGAGGACAAACATGAGTGAAACGGTCTCAATCCAAGGGAGGAACATCAAATGGACCTAATTTGGGAACCGGAAGAGGTAAGGAGTCCGAAATGTACCTCTGTGACTCCACATTGTGGAAACTCACTTGTAGTGTATAAGATGAACTAGATGGACCCATACTTATCCCAAACATGGATTAATAGGTTCTACACATGACTATGAGGACAAACATGAGTGAAACGGTCTCAATCCAAGGGAGGAACATCAAATGGACCTAATTTGGGAACCGGAAGAGGTAAGGAGTCCGAAATGTACCTCTGTGACTCCACATTGTGGAAACTCACTTGTAGTGTATAAGATGAACTAGATGGACCCATACTTACCCAAACATGGATTAATAGGTTCTACACATGACTATGAGGACAAACATGAGTGAAACGGTCTCAATCCAAGGGAGGAACATCAAATGGACCTAATTTGGGAACCGGAAGAGGTAAGGAGTCCGAAATGTACCTCTGTGACTCCACATTGTGGAAACTCACTTGTAGTGTATAAGATGAACTAGATGGACCCATACTTATCCCAAACATGGATTAATAGGTTCTACACATGACTATGAGGACAAACATGAGTGAAACGGTCTCAATCCAAGGGAGGAACATCAAATGGACCTAATTTGGGAACCGGAAGAGGTAAGGAGTCCGAAATGTACCTCTGTGACTCCACATTGTGGAAACTCACTTGTAGTGTATAAGATGAACTAGATGGACCCATACTTACCCAAACATGGATTAATAGGTTCTACACATGACTATGAGGACAAACATGAGTGAAACGGTCTCAATCCAAGGGAGGAACATCAAATGGACCTAATTTGGGAACCGGAAGAGGTAAGGAGTCCGAAATGTACCTCTGTGACTCCACATTGTGGAAACTCACTTGTAGTGTATAAGATGAACTAGATGGACCCATACTTATCCAAACATGGATTAATAGGTTCTACACATGACTATGAGGACAAACATGAGTGAAACGGTCTCAATCCAAGGGAGGAACATCAAATGGACCTAATTTGGGAACCGGAAGAGGTAAGGAGTCCGAAATGTACCTCTGTGACTCCACATTGTGGAAACTCACTTGTAGTGTATAAGATGAACTAGATGGACCCATACTAACCCAAACATGGATTAATAGGTTCTACACATGACT